TTCAAAGAAAAGTGATTTGTTCATGCCAACAAGTCTCTATCTCTGGGTGATAAAGTAGCTAACAAACAAGTTTCTGGGTGGTAATGTTAATTTTTGATGGTCTGTCAGATATTTCTCTCTTTTTATTCAGAGATAAATATATACAAGTTTTCTTCGTGGTTATAAAACATATGGCTTTAATCGTCTTGGAGGTAATCACCATTGTCACCATATAAAGAGCTTTGGCAACATTATAAAATAAAGTTATTGTGCATATTGTAAATGTTGTTGTCATGATTTTTATTGAAACAAAATGCTACTAACCTGAAAACACTTAAAAGCAGAATACAGCTAAAAGAAACTTGGTTACTCTCAACTTCATAAAGACTAACTAAAAATTTATACGTTCATGCACACACACATACAGAAGGAGTGAAATCAGAAAAATATGGCTTACCTTCAAGTTCCCAGAGAGAGTGAACATCTACAAGGGTTCCACTTCGTCGCACTCTTACAGAGTGAGTTGCTAGATCGTAATGACCACCAGAGATAAAGACACTGTCCATTTGGGCATTCTTATACAGTTCATTATTACCTTTGCAAGAAAATAACTTAATTATAAAATATGTACATCACTTTTTTTTTTCAATAATTTTATTTCAATATTCTTAAACTTGACAAACACCACACAAGGTTAGCAAAGAGTAAAATTGATTCAATTAATATCCTGAAATCTGATTAGGTCTCAGTTTCCACAATAGTGCAGCTAATATCTTTGGCTTTGTTAGAAATTGAACTATAATCTGGAGTAAGTCTCAATAGTTGACAACACCAATCCTGATGTCTTCAACCTAGTTAAAACTACAATGAAATTTGGACTAGGTTGATAATGGCTGAAAATAGCAGAGCTAAGTCTTCTGCATTATTAGGAACTACACTCAAATTTGAGCTAAATGTTATCCACATCTGAATATTTAAAACAATACAGGAGACAAAGGTGTTACTCATAACTTCTTAAAATAAATTTTAATCTCACAAAATTCAGTGTTGATGGGAAAAATCCGAGTCAAACTTCTAATTATCAGATACAACTTTTCACTTTTCAGATGTTAAAAAAATATTCTTGTATCATTCTTTTGAATGTGAATTGCATTAAAACTAAAAAAATCTATGAATGTTTGGTTGTTCTAAGTCTATTTGCAAGGTATCAGTATTTGTGAATGCAGAGCAAACAGCATTTATTGGACCCATCTGTATAAAGAAATTTGAATCAAGGAGATTTTTGAATCTCATCTTTGAAGCTCATCTTTTAAGATTCATTCAACACCCATTAACTCTTTTGCTATGAGGTTGGTTGAATCGACTATACTAGTCTTAGTACTTTTCTTAGTCTGAAAAATCTCAAATTTTATTTATACAATCTCTAAAACCTCGAATAAATTTCAAACTTTTTTTTTCAGTAAAACTTTATATTTTCCCTACTCTAACTATTCAAGGTTGGTCAATTTGATTGACCTTGTAACCACACACACACACACAATTTTACAGATTTCAAATCTTCAGCAATATATTAAGTATTTGTTTTGAATAGTCCATGTGCAAAGTAATTTTTATGTTAAGATTAATAGTACTTTTCTTCATTTCACAAATGTCAAATTTCATTTACATGATCTCTAAAACCTCCCAAATATATTTCAAACGGTTTTTTTTCAGTAAAACTTTATATTTTGTCTGTTATTTTCTCTACCTTAATTCACAAGCTTTATGAATTTGACTGATCTCGTAACCATCGAAAAAAAAAAAATTGAAATAAAACTAAATTAACCTTTTTTTCTTTCTAGAATGACTTCGTATTGTAACAAAATAACATTTGTTTATCCCAAGTAGCTTTATACTCGTAATGGTATACATCTATTAATACATACATTTTATTGCCCTTTGAACCTTGTCTAACTACTATACACACCATTATAAGTTGTAAATCATTTGGGTACAATGAAGCTCACATTACGCTATCAAATTACATTACCCACAAGCTACTCAGAGTTGCTTGCATGCATGCCTCGTGAAAAAATTCTTATTATAAACAAAGTGATCTTTGGATTAAACTGAGTAGTATTGTGACACTGGGGATTCCCCTCATTAAGTGCTCAAGCTAAATGCTAACAGTATCTTCAGAGTATAAGCATCTTGTGGTCAAAATGTACTGGATGTTATACTATAGTACATGTTATTGTTAACTGTGTAGCATCATGTATAAAAGCTGTGTTCTTGATCTAAAACTAAAGTGTTTATAAACATGCAAGTACAAATAGCTATAAAAGCAATACATTATTGGTAACATGTTTTATATGTGTTAAAACCAATGTTTCACTTAAACTAAACTGACATACACAGATTAGTTTCATCAGGCTTATTATGTCTAGCTTATGACTGATTCTGTGTAATACATATACACATATATAGTATACTTTGCAAATGGTGCATTCTTACACATTTTATATTGAATTAAATTAATACTACATGGCAGAATATATACAGGAATTGTTAACAATTTTCAGCTGAAGGACTTTGTTCCAACTTGTGTTTCATGTTTGTTTTTATTAGCTGGCAGTCTGTTTTTTATAATAACTGTTTACTCATATACATGTGCATACTTAAAGTTTATGAACATTCAAAATTTGTGGATGTTTTTGTGCTAGAATGATGTGTTATACAGCTTCTGATTGGATATTACTGAATTAAGCAGTTCTTGCATGACATAATGCAAACCTGCCAGAATAGTTGCAACTTTTCTGATCGATTCAAAGAAAACAAACTGTAACCTTAAAATGTTAGAGTAGGGTATTTATTCCAGAAAATCAAATCACTTTTCTTTGAAGGGTGTTGAACAAAATGAACAAGTCTCTGGGTGATAACAGAAGTGATAATACACTCTAGGTGATAACGTAACTGATGAAGTTACACTATCACTCTTAGAAAATTATCCCTCAGTTACCAAATACAGAAACCAGTTATACCAACTAGCTTACTTGCTGACTTGTAAGTACAGATTCAAATTATAATAAAGAATATGTTAATTGTCTGTACTTTGGTCGGACAACTATTTCAAAAACATCAGACAAACTCTGGGGGTTCTGGAGTGAATGAAGATGAAGTTAGGTTGTAAAAAGTTAGAAATCTGAAATTAAATATCGTAAAATATTAATGGCTGAAACATATTACTAACCATGAGATGATCTCTTAAAGATGATGGATCATGTTGTCCTGCAACTTATTACTAACCATGAGATGATCTCCTGAAGCTGATGGATCATGTTGTCCTGATCATCTCATGTTTAGTAACAAGTTGCTCTTGAAGCTGATGGATCATGTTGTGCTGCAACTTATTACTAACCATGAGATGATCTCCTGAATCTGATGGATCATGTTGTTCTGCAACTTATTACTAAACATGAGATGATCTCCTGAAGCTGATGGATCATGTTGTCCTGCAACTTGTTACTAAACATGAGATGATCTCCTGAAGCTGATGGATCATGTTGTCCTGCAACTTGTTACTAAACATGAGATGATCTCCTGAAGCTGATGGATCATGTTGTCCTGCAACTTATTACTA